GAAAACTGGGACCTGAGAACTCTGTATTCCATCACTGATATATTTTTTTAAGAGACAGTAAAAGGTGAGAAATGCTATTTCAAAATTTAGTCCTGTATTACATTTTCTGAGTAATTTGAACTTACTTTCTAAATTCTGCTGGAAGATGATTTATATTTTGTGAAGGTTTAGCATTATTTTACAGTTTGTTTTCCCCGTTTGTTTTGCTATTTTTAAACCTTCATTTTTCCATATGTCATGGATAATGGCCAATTATGTTGCCTCCTGTGGAAATAACAAAGATAAGAGGTAAACACTGGCTTCCCTTACCAAGGACTTGATTACATCTGAGTTGATTTTTATGGTAGCATTTTCACTACCTTTTGTTACTTAGGGTCACATGGGGGACATTTGGTACTCCTGACTTTGATGATGTTTTACTCCATTTTATTTGATAACCATGTGAGGAACTACCTTAAATGTCTAACTTTGGGAGACTTCGGCACAGTGGTTCTCAAGCTGGCCACACACTGGAATCTCCTGGGTGTTTTAAGAAAAATACTGTTGCTTGGGTCTCACTTATCAATCACCCATACATTATGACTCAACAGGCCTGTGGTGCAATCTTCATACTGGGATGTTTAAAAACTTCCAGATGATTCTAATGTGCAGCCATATTTAGAGAGCTACCACTTCGTTTAGAAGAAATCATCCTAAAAGCTAAGCAGCAATGTCTTTTTAAGAAGTCACCAGGTAAATCTTTAGTCAAGAACTAGAAATATTATGGTCAACATGAAACCAAGACTCTCACTAGTAAAATCCAAGTACTATGCTACGTCTAGGCAGTGGGGTGTTAGTAAGTGTTTAAAACCATCTCCTCAAGAAACAAAGCTCTAATTGGTTGTGTTTTGCCTCTTTCCCTGGTGTAGTAAATATTCCCATCATGGCTGATTTCTTTCTTTCTTTCTTTCTTTCTTTCTTTTTTTGGCCACGCAGCCTGTGGGATCTTATTTACTTCATGGACCAGGGGTGAACCTGGGGCCCTCGGCTGTGAAAGTGCAGAGTCCTAAGCGCTGTACCGCCAGGGAATTCCCAGCATCATGGCTGATTTCAACCTACCAATGTTTTAACAACTGGCTTGCCAAATTCCTGAAAATCTATCAGCTCTTATGAAACAATTTGAGCTAGCTCCAGCACACTGCTGCTGCTAAGAGAACGACTTCCAAGATAATGACATCAGAGAAGTTATTTACCCTTTTGGGATTAAATGTATTTATTTAGGCCTTGTTTAGGTTAGAGTAATCATCAATTGCCATCTTAAAAAGTTGCTTAGATTAGCAGAGTTATATAACAATGGTTGTTATATAACTCTCTATATACTTCTACGCCTAGAAGTAGCATAGTACTTGGATTTTACTAGTGAGAGTCTTGGTTTCATGTTGACCACAGTATTTCTAGTTCTCGACTAAAGATTTACCTGGTGATTTCTTAAAAAGACATTGCAGCTTTTTGATTATTTTTACTTTTGTGTAAATAATATTCTTTTTTTTTTTTTCTGGTATGTGGGCCTCTCACCGCTGTGGCCTCTCCTGTTGCGGAGCACAGGCTCCGGACACGCAGGCTCAGCGGCCATGGGTCACGGGCCCAGCTGCTCCGCGGCATGTGGGATCTTCCCGGACCGGGGCACCAGCCCGTGTCCCCTGCATCGGCAGGCAGACTCTCAACCACTGCGCCACCAGGGAAGCCCTAAATAATATTCTTAATAAAGTTAGTCACTTGGTGTGCAAAGCAATATCAACAGCTCTGAGATCCTGTAAATTTCTCCTCATTTTGGGATCCCGTGAAGCCCTCATCTATTTGAACATCATGTGCATTACTAGATAAATAATAATAACAAAAAATACTTCTATAATGCTTTTCCTGTGCCATGCACTGTTCAAAGCACTTTACATATATTAACTTATTTATTATTCACACTCCTTGAGGTATGCTCTATTACTGACCTTATTTTTACAGGTAAAAATACTGAGGATCTGAGAGGTGAAGTAACTCGCCCAATGACACACAGCTAGTAAGTAGCAAATTGGAATTTGACCTAGGCAGTCTGACCGCTCTTAACCAGCTTATATCAAAAACAACTAGAGAGGGCTTCCCTGGTGGCGCAGTGGTTGGGAGTCCGCCTGCCGATGCAGGGGACGCGGGTTCATGCCCCGGTCCGGGAGGATCCCGCGTGCCCCGGAGCGGCTGGGCCCGTGAGCCATGGCCGCTGAGCCTGCGCGTCTGGAGCCTGTGCTCCGCAACGGCAGAGGCCACAACAGTGAGAGGCCCGCGCAAAAAAAAAAAAAAAAAAAAAAAACAACTAGAGAATCACAATTATTTTCTGAGACTATTTTTGAATACTACAGAACTCTAGTGGTTTTTTTTTCCCTCTCCTCTCTTCTGGTTGTTTGAAGATCTTTTTCAAATATAACAATATGTATCACCTGCTGAAATAATTATTTTGTTTTCCTCATTATCAGTGTAATTCCACTTTTCCTGTTATGAAAGCAAAAGTACCCAAGATTTTTGTATAATAGTGCAATTATATTTATTGAGGAATAATTTTTTATGGTGAGTCATATTACCACAAACCTCTAAAATCACACCATAGTTTTTAAACTCTCCTTTTTTTGTGGGTTACTCTAGCTGGAGCCAAAGAAATAAAACCCCACCCTGGTTATGATGCCTCCCAGACATATTGGCTGAATGCCCAGAGGCAGAGAAGGACCAAGTGTAGCCTAAACAAAATTGTTTGGAAATAACTTCAAACTTGCATAAAATTTCAAGAATCAGACTAATTCAAAGAGAACACATACAGCTTTTACTTAGATTCATCTGTTGTTAGATTTTACCCCGTTTGCTTTATCAATTGCTCTCTTTTTGTATGCATGCACATATTGTGTGTCACACACCCAACACTTTTTTCTAAATTTTTTGAGAGTAAATTGTATACTTTATGGCTCATTACTCCAAAATAGTTCAGTGTATATTTCCCAAGAATAGGGGGATTCTCTTACATAATCACAGTAAACTTCTAATTTACGACTTATATTCCAATTTGCCAGTTAACCTAATATTGTCCTTTGGAGTATTTATTTTATCTCTAGTGCAGGATCCAGTCCCAGTAACTTATTGCATTTAGTTGTCATGTATTTTTAGTATAATTTAATCTGGAACATTTTCATAGAGCCTTTTTTTGTCTTCTATGAAATTGACATTTTTAAAGAATTCAATTAACACCTCCTCCCCTTTTTAATAGAACATTCCTCATTTGGAATTTGTCTGCTGTTTCCTCATGATTCGATCTAGATAAGGATTCCAGGCCAGAGTACTGCATAAACCATGTCGCTTCCTTCTCAGGGTATCACATTTGAAGGCACATGGTTTTCATCTACCCTCATTGATCAGGTTAATTTTGATTACTCAGTAAAGAGGTGGTACAGTTTTTCCACTGCATGGTTACTATTTTTTCCCTTGTAACTAATAAGCAATCTGTGTGGAGGTATTTTAAGACCAACCTAATACCCTGCTCCTAATCAAACTTTTGCTGTAGCTTCCGCCTCCATTGGCAATTCTTGCCTGAGCCAATATTGACCGTGATGGTTGAAAAAATGACAATTTTTCCAATCCTAGCACCTTTTCCACATTTACCAGTCAGCCTTTGACAGTCTACTGTAAGGAAGATACTTTCTTCTCTCTCTCTTCCTCTTCCAGTGTGTATTCATGGTTTCTACTTTGTCTCCCAGTGTTCTATAATTTGCAATTTTTCTCTATTATTTTCTTCTCAAATTGTCCCAGTTTTGTCCAATTGAGAGCACCCTCAAGGTGACTCTGATATTTTGGTGACATATCTCTATTATTTTGGGGGAAAGCTTCCTTAATTTCTGGCATAAAAAGATATTTCAGGCTTACGTTGTACCTACCCTGCTCTCACATCAGAATCAGCCATTTCTCCAAGGAACCATCATTCTTTTTAGTGGAGAATATATTAGACACCAAGATCTGAGTGCTGGGTGTACTCATTCCTACTGAGATGTCTTTGCTTGTAAGCTCTTAAGGTAGATAGAGCTAAGAAATATATGCATGTGTATACACATATCCATACATATGAATTTACATCTATTCCAATCCATTTGCACACAGTTCTTTCTTGCCTTCCCTCTGTCATATTTGTATGTGCCTTCTTCCAGAAGGAAAATTCTAGCTCCTAACAACATCAAAATATATTCTCATTTGCTCGATCATGTAACATATCTGAAATAGTTTTGTTACCTGGGCAGAGTGGTCCCCTATTCCTGCCTGTCAAAAATCAGCTGGACCCAGTAATTCCATGCCTAGTTAATATTCAAAAGAAAAGGAACTCATGTTTCCACAGACAACCTTATACAAGAATGTTTATAGCAGCTTTATTTATAGAAGCCGAAAACTGGAAATAACTCAATTATCTTAAGAGAAGAAGGGATAAGTAAACTGTGATATATTCATGCGATGGAATGCTACTCAGCAATAAAAAGGAACAAATTAATGTTGCATGCAACAATATGGATGAATTTCAAAAACATTATGCTGACTTTAAAAAGGCAAACAGAAAAGAACACATAATGTATGACCCAATTTATATGAAGTTTGAGAACAGGCAAAACTAGTTTACAGTGATAGAAACTAAATCACTACTTGCTTTTGTTGGAGCTGGGACAGGGCAGGACATTGACTGGGAAGGAGTGTGAGAAAACATTCTGGAATTAGGGAAATGTACTATACCTTGATCAGGATGCGAATTATATGGGTGCATACATTTGTCACAACTCTATCTTTAATATCTGTTAATTTCACTGTCTGTAAATTAACCCTCAGTTTTTAAATTGGCTGGAGTAGCAGCTGCCCTTTTTAGCTGAAGCTAGAACTCCTCAGTGTAAAACAGCTCCTCCTTCTAGTTTGTTTCACTTCTGATCCTCTAAACCCATTACTCTCCTGGTCCCTGAAGGCATTTGAATTTGGTACCCCAATCAATATATTTACTTCCTTTTACTATCATTTCAAATATTTAAAATACAACATAAGTTAGAACTTCACAGATAATCAAATGACATTATCCATTCTTTAGGTCTGACCAATATACACACTTTAATATTTAATACAGTAATGGCGTGCATACAAATTGAAAATGTTTAAATAACACTGAAATTTAGATTAATCCTCAGTTTAGGTCTTTGCTTATCTGATCTATTAAGACAAAAGCGGAAACAAACAAAGTGCAGTGTAGTCAGGCCTCGCCAATGGAAACAGCTGATTTCCAACATCAAATGATCAAATATCACTTCAATGAGGAAACAACTTTCTCAGACCTTCTCATAAATTCTGGTGCAGACCACGTCCTTCATCTTACATTCCTTAAAAAAAAGAGAGATTAATTGAATATCTAAAACTCAAACTAGGTGACAGCAAATTTGTAATAATAACAGACGTTATAAGCAATCTCATAAGATTAAACTCAGAAATAAATAAAATATCAGCATGTCAGTCTCCAGGAATTTGGAATCATGACCATTGAAACAGGGGAAACAGTTTTAAAGCTGATCTAAGTTACAGCAGAGGTGTATATATATATATATATATATATGTGTGTGTGTGTGTGTGTGTGTGTGTGTATATATATATATATATATATATATATATTTATTTATTTATTTATTTATTTATTTATTTATTTTTTCGGTACGCGGGCCTCTCACTGTTGTGGCCTCTCCCGCCGCGGAGCACAGGCTCCGGACGCGCAGGCTCAGCGGCCATGGCTCACGGGCCCAGCCGCTCCACGGCATGTGGGATCTTCCCAGACCGGGGCACGAACCTGTGTGCCCTGCATCGGCAGGTGGACTCTCAACCACTGCGCCACCAGGGAAACCCCAGAGGTATATTTTTTAAGTGGCAAGTTTTCATGCATAATTGGCACAGTTTTAAATCTACTAAAACAGTGGTTTTCAAAACTATCTGCACATCTGCATTATCTGGAGAACATTTAAAAATACTGATGGCTCCCCCTCCCCCAAGAGATGTGCATGCAGTTGATCTGTATTGGGGCCCCCATACTGGTATTTACTGCCCATGTAAATCTGCTGTGGAGCTAAGGATAAAGCTCCTCTGTACTCAAGAAAAGAATGTTCAAAGAACTAAATAAATCTATCTATAGTCAATGTGTGTGTTGATTAATAAGAACAGAACCTGAGACTTAAAAAAATTGTTAGAGGTCATCTCATATAACCTTTGTCATCATTTTTACCTGCCAACTACCAAAGGTCTCCAATGGCCTCAGCTTGAGTTGTTGATATGTTTTAGTCCAAGTTACTATGGATTCTTGAAAACAAAATGCTTAGCAATCTACAAATATTCTACAATTGACTGGGGATGTGCTTTGCTTTTCAAACTTAGATTTGCTTTTCTCCTTGTGTGTCTAAACTAATGAGGTTTACCCATACTTTTTTTTTTTTTTTTATCATTTTTAGGTGTTGGTATTTCTAAAACAACAAATGAGTTGTATCATTTCTAAATTCTTGAATCTGAACCTGAAGTACCTGTAGATGAGTCTTTATCGTTCAAAGATCATCCAGACATTAACTCTGACTTTATTCTCAGCCATTCTTATCCATTTGTATTGCAAAGAAAAGAGAATATTTTGAAAATAATAACCATTTTCTCTATTTAAATGGCAATATTTATGTATTTAGAGTAAAATCACTCTTACCACTACCATTTTTCCATCCACCAACTTTCTCTTTATTGTTGTCTCTTTGCCATTCCATTTCTGTACTTGATTCAATGAGCCTCTTGCCAAAGTTACAACGCTCTGCAAAGATAGGTTTACATGATTGACTTGCTTGGACTTTGATTGAGTAAAGAAGCAGTTCATTCAGTATTGAATCATTTTCATAACAGATATTTTATGAGGCGCATTCATTTTCAACAGAAGGGAGTGGTCTACCCTTTTGAATACTAGCAGGAGTAATCTTCTCTCTCAAAGTAGTAGATTGGACCAAATTTCAAGAGAAACAGTTAAGTTTACCTTTGTCTTTCTATTGTCAGCTGTGGTTTCTTCAAATTCCTGGCCTAGCTTGAAGGAGATCTCTGTATCTTTAAAGGTACTTTCAGTTCTTATAGTTATAATATCCCCTTTTTTGCTGATGATCACTCTTGGTTTGGCCAAGTCTCCCAGTTTTCTGGTGGCTAATCCCACACCTGAAAATCAAGATACTGTTAGAATTTTGTTGACCAAGAGAACCTCTACCTAAAGGGACTATGGGTGGCCATATTTTATGCTCAGCTGTGCCTCAGCTGTATAGATGGCAAGTAATAGCACTTACTGCTAAGGACCTTCTCCCATGTTTCATCACCTAATGGAAACACATGTCCACGGACTTGAATATTTTAAGTTTTGTTATTACAAAAGTAATGCCTGCAGATTTTAAAGCTAAAAGTGTTTAGCTTAAATAGTGCAAGTCATCTATTTTTACCACATCCAAACCCATGCTCCATTAAAAACTACTAATTATAGTTTTGTATGGGTCATTCCAGACATTTTAGTTTGTATGCATAAATATTGTAGATGTATTTTTTAAATGAGACTATGACTTATACATGCTATTCTATGATTTTTTTCCCTCAGTAATATATTATGGATATAGAAAAGAATTCCTCCCATATCCTTGATAGAAGCTCATTTCTGAAATTTTGTTGTAGACCCTAAGATGACCTGTACCATTACAAATGATCATAGATAAATAAAATAATTTTTAAAAAATTTTCTGCATTTGAAAACAAAACAAAATTAGACTCTTAAGTATTATTACTATGTTACCCAAGATTACAGAAATACATGGAAAAATAGAAATGTCAAATGAGAGAGATACATGAAGAAAAAACTAGTTATATATAAATATACATATATTTACATTTATATATACATAAAGAAGTGTGAATAGTTAGAGCCAATAAAGGATTGTGAACGATACTCTTTCTTCTAATTCTGATTAATTTTTTTTATTTGATATGATTTAGGGAAATGCTTTTCAAACTAAACCTCTACAATAGAGACTAAGAATCTACATTTTACCAACACCCCCAGGTGTCCTTATGCACTCTAAAATTAGAAAATGACACAATTAGGGAGTTTTTCATTGAGACTTTCTTATATTGTATTTTGCTTCTTCCTCAGCTATAAAGTGAAGTCCATAAATTTAACCAATCTTATGGTATGGATTTATTCCCATAAGTTCCCATAGTTTTCCAGGCAACACAACATGATTTTGCTCATTTTATCTAAAAATAGAACACCTTATATGCTTTCTGAACAGGTAAAATTACAAGTACTTTGATGAGCATAGCATCTGAGGTCATTGGCTTCACTCTCTACTTATTTATACAGCTCTGGACATTTCCAAAGACTCTTCACACTTTTGTGCTCATATCTATGGAAAATTCCCTAGAAATAGTAGCAAATAAAGTTGCTATACTAATGACTAGACTTTCCATCTCCATCCACTGTTCCAACTCCAGGAAAGACTGATGTTAGTGTAAATGAGCTTCAGTTCACTGCCACAACACACTTCTTTTTCTCTCAGTAACTTTCCTAGACTGTGAATATCCTGCTTTAGGAAGCATTCACTTTTTACAAACTCTTTATCCACATAGTTATGTAATAACAGACAACCTAGAGGTAGAGACAGAAAATTTCTGGTATAGCTAAACATCAAAATTTTAAATTGAGGTTTTCCATTAACTTTAGTATATTCAACTCTTTATTTCATGAGCACTTTAGTTGTTGTAGATCTAACTTTCAGGAAAGCCAGAAAATAGGTTGACTAAGCTTCTAAGATTTCTTTCCTCCAGGTTTGGAACGAAAACCCTATTGATATGAAACTGCCTTTGAAATCAGTGGGCACTCTAATGCATTTAAGCAGCTCTTATCTGAGTTAAAATCTATTAAAATTGCCACAAATAAAATGCAAATAAATTATCTGATTGACACAACAGAAGGTTAATCCCAGAAGAGGATCGTAATTCAACCTGTGCAAACTCCCAGACTCCTGGAAAAAGAGTTAGAAGGAAATAGTCATGCATCCTTCTCAAAAAGGATCCTCTCAATTAGAACAACAGAGAACATTTCTTACCCAGAGCTTTCATGTAATCATCAAAGTTCTCACTGGAGACAAGTTTCCAGGTGCCTAAGAATTTGTTGCTCATTGTGATGGATGAGAATTCAACACAGTGGTAGGTGAGATTCAGAAGACTCAAATGAGATGCTGAAGCCTCAGAAGATTCTTTTCAAAGATGTCCACAGCATGTGACTCTCACAGAGACCCAATGGGGAAAAGCAGTGTCAGGACTGGGCAATGAATGGCTCTTCAATCATCCAGTGGGACAAAAGAGAACCTCACATAATGTCTCCTTCAGTTTCCAAAAATGTTTATAAAAATCAATGACAGTACTATTTGAACCTTCAAAAAATTTTTGGTTGCTCTTACATTTTTAAGAAGTGCTTAGGTCCTTAATGCTTTGGAAAAGAGTCCATCAGTTGAGTTCTATACCAAATTAAATTATATGAGCATGAATGAATGAATATGTGTGTGTGTGTGTGTGTGTGTGTGTGTGTGTGTGTGTATTTAGGCATCTTGTTCACTCTCAATCCTGAGTCTGCACAATTAAGAATTCTTATTGAAAGAGAATAAAGAGAGGAAAAATGTCCATGAGTATTGTGATAACTGCCTCAAATATGTTGTGGGAGAGAAATGCAAGGGAGCAGTGTGAGGAAGTATTCATAGGTAAGGGAGGCTTGGCATAGTTGGCATATCCAAGGCAGTCAGAGTAGGCAGACAATACGGTCAGTCTATTACAGCAGAACACAGAAATTGCTTTCATGGGTGAACAAAAAGTAGCACTATAACACGCTCTTTGACCACAGCAAAGATTTTCATCTTAAAAAAACCTTAGCTCCAAATTAAGCAGGTTCTTGGTTAATACAACAACATTGAGTTTAAGTCCTTTAAAATAAATCTACAATTTTAGAAAGGATTTTCTACAAAAATAATATTAATATATATTGAGAGCTCAGCAGTCACTGTGCTAAGTGCTTAATATAGATTATTTCATTTGATTCTCTTAACAACTCCAAGAGTAAGGCATTATTATTATATCCATTTTACCAATGAGAATACTGGAGCTTGGGGAGGTTAGGTAACTTCTGTCCAAAACTTGAATAAGGTGAGGTAGGATTTGAACCTGGTATTTTTTCTCAGTGTATAGATGTTAGACCATTATCTTACACTGCTCCTGCTATAACATGTGTGCTAGAGGCCCTGGCCAAAGATCAGGCAATACTGACATCACCATGGATAGAGACACTCATTCTCTGCTCAACAAGCAAGAGAAGTGAAAACCAAGAGATGAGGCATCCAGGTTATATGATACATCAAAGTCCCAGTCTTTGACCAAGGGGAGCAAATATGAAACCACTTTGAACATAAGTGTTACTCTTGGGAATACCAAGTTGGTGCCATACATTTTCCTAGCAGTTCTTCTACATTGACATTAATCCTGGCCTTGAGACAACTGATATTACCAGGTTTTATATATTTAGTACACAGTTTGGCACTCTTCACAATAATGAAAATAACCCATTATCGATTTACCCATAGCAGGTAGAATCACTGACCTCTAGGGCTCAGGTTACCAATGCCATAGCTGCAGCATAACCATTGCAATTATGTGGTTAGGGTCCAAGTTGGATAAAGAATGTAGAATTATACACAGTGAGTCCAAGTGTCATCTTAAATTACTTGTGCCTGTATAATTCAAGATGGGAATGAAATAGTGACTAGAAAAATTCCTCAGTTAACTGGTTAACCTAATCCTAGACCCAGGAGAATGTAACTGGAGAGAGTACATTGTACTGGGATATAAGATACAGCTATGAAAGAAAGGGCTTTTGATTAGCAGAATATGCTATTTTCCAAAACACTTAATAAAAATGAATAATGCTATGACTGTGTCTTCAAAAATTTAGGCATTCTGCCTAAACCTATGAAGGACCTTCAAACTTTCCCAGTTGAGCTGAGCCCTTGTATCTGGAGGGATTCATTCAGGAAAGCTGTGTGAATTTTCAGCAGACCTTGTTTTGCACATAAGAATAGCAGTGGAGCTTAAAATATAAACATTGAACTATATATTGGCAAGGCTTATAACTTTGAAGCAATTTTAGACAAAGAAAAAATTTTATATTTTAGGATTGCCAACAATGTACCTGACTTCTGGAATTGGCCAAGATGAAATTCTGAGGCCCATGTATGAGTCAAAGGCACAGATCAAAGCAATGAGAGAAGATACTGGCTTGAGACTTTTAAGGCACTCCTAGATAAGAAAGTCATCAATATCCTACTGAGAAAGGGTTGATAATAAACATCAGAGCCACATTATAATTAGATGTATACATTTACACTTGAACTAAATGTTTGTAAAATGGACATTGTCTCTCTACAGTGTGAGTTCATCTTTCAGAGGTTTATTGCCTATATAAATTCTCAAGATAAAATAAGCTACTAGAATGATACACTGAAAAGAAAATCCAGAAGTCCAAACAAAATGGATAAGTAAAGCTTGCTCTATATAAAATGTCCTTACGTATTGTCATCAAGCTATATCCAATTGTATATTTGAAAAGTGATAATCATCCTGTAGCACAAGAACAAAGAATTCATGATCCTCCACTTAATACCAAAGATGTGACTCCATTCCTTCCATTCGTTTAACTGCAAAAGCATTGAGAGCCTACTAAGGGCTAGGCACACTTCAAGGTGCTGGTTAAACATCACTGAACAAGATTCCATGCCCTCAAGGAACTTATATTCTATTCATGACTTGATAAAGACATCAAGAAAGAAATTTTAATTCCAGTGAGTCTGAAATTATCTGTAAAATAGAAATATTGTGATAATAATTGGTGCAGGAATATCACATAATATAATACTAGAAAAAATAACCTGAAATGATCATTTAAAAAAATTGAGAAAATAGAAATAAATCTTAGAATTTTCACTTCCTCATGATAGATGAGGAAAGTAAGGTAACTTTCCAACTGTGACATCTAAAAAATGGACAAAATTATAAAAATATTCTTCAAGAGATCAGAGAGATAAAAAAGGCAGAGAAAAATTAAGGGTCTAAGATTTGGGCAAAAAATGAAGACCAGAGAAACAGGCCCAACAATTAAGGCTGCTGCCCTTATGGCAATCCATGAATTCTGCAAGATGAGAGGCAAAATCTGAAGGACATTTATGACATTGTTTCAGGGTTAGGGGAACAATGAGGGAGAGTCCTGGTTAATCATATTTTACTTTGGGACTTTGAAAGGCTGCAATACAGGAGGAAAGATGAACTAGAAATAAACCTGGCTAATACCAATTCAACTCTTAAAATTAGTTTACTGTGATCTGGGACAGCTAGTGAACTTGGCTACCAGTAAGAGACAAACATAAACACTCTGCATAAGAAGATAATGTCACTCTAGTTCTAAATTTATTTCTACAAATTTTCATACACATCACTAATCAAAAATAAATAGAACAAAAAGAGACAGAAAAATATGCTCAAAAAGAAACAATAAATGACAGAAATAGATAATCAACAAGACAGATGTTAATAAAATAAAAACAAACATATTATAGAAAATATCATCAAAACTAAAAGTTTTTAAAAGATTAATAAAATTGACAAACTCTTATCAAGATGGATTTAAAAATAGAGAAGGTGGGCCTCCCTGGTGGCGCAGTGGTTGAGAGTCCGCCTGCCGATGCAGGGGATACGGGTTCGTGCCCCAGTCCGGGAGGATCCCACGTGCCGCGGAGCCATGGCCGCTGAGCTTGCATGTCCGGCAAGGGGAGAGGCCACGACAGTGAGAGGCCCACGTATTGCAAAAAAAAAAAAAAAAAAAAAAAAAAAAAATAGAGAAGGCAAAAGTTATTGATTGCAAGTATAAAAAAGGGTATATCAATATATCCTAGAGTTATTAAAAAGATCATAATATAATGAACAACTTCATGCCAATAAATTTGAAAAATTTTTTAAAAATTATAAATTTCTTAGAACACAATTTACCAAAAATGATACAAGATGAAATAAAAGTGTGAATACTCCCAAATCTATTAATATTTAATCTATAAATAAATTTTCTCCCACAGAGATACTCCAGGCCTGTAGGCTTCACCCATGAATTCATACAAATATTTAAGGAAAAAGTAACACCAATCTTTCACAAAATCTTCCGGAGAATAGAAAAGGAGCTACTAATTTCCTCCTTGCTTTTAGCAAGGTCTTTACAAATACTGTTCACTTTTCCTGGAATGTCTAACCACTCCTATAGGATTAATCTTTAACTCTCAGCTCAATCACGCTTTCCTACCTTTGTGTTGACAACCTTTAGATTCAACTCAATCATCTGTGCTAAACTTTTCTAATATACCCTCGTTTTATAATTACTGCAGTCAGCAGCTATAGAAGGAGAAATTGACAATAATACAATAATAGTAAGGGACTTTAACACTCCACTTACATCAATAGACATATCATCCAAACAGAAAATCAATAAGATGACAGTGGTCTTAAATGATACATTAGATCAGGTGGACTTAATAAATATCTACAGAACGTCACATCCAAAAACAGCAGAATACACATTTTTTCAAGTGCACATGGAACATTCTCTAGAACAGATCACATGCTAGGTCACAACACAAGTCTCAATAAATTAAAAAGGACAAAAATTATACCAAGCATTTTTTTCTGACCACCATGGTATGAAACTAGAAATCAATTCCAGAGAGAAGAATGGAAAAAAACAAACACATGGAGACTAAACAACATGCTACTAAAAAAAAAAAAAAAACAATGAATCAATGAAGAAATCAAAGACAAAAAAAAAAATACCTTGAGACAGATGAAAATGGAAACACAACACTCCAAAATCTATGGGATGCAGCAAAAACATTCTAAGAGGAAATTTTATAGTGATACAGGCTTTCCTCAAGAAACAAGAAAAATCTCAAATAAACAACCTAAACTCCACCAAAAGGAATTAGAAAAAAAGAATAAACAAAGCCCAAAGTCAGAAGAAGGAAGAAAATAATAAAGATCAGAGAAACAAATAAAATAAAGATCAAAAAACAATAGAAAAGATCAGTGAAAACAAGAACTGGGCTTTTGAAAAGATAAACAAAATTGATAAACTTTTAGCCAGGCT